ATGAGACAAGAATTCATAAATGACGACTATAATAATGAAATAACGATCAAAAAATTAATTTTAATTGATTTTTTAGCCGTACCAAACAAGCTCTAAATTTTTTAGTAGATTATAATAGAAATTTTTGAAAGGTGTGGTTGAAAAGTTGTGAGACCCATAAAAAATGTGATTAATATTGATTATTTGACTTTGACTTAGATTATGATTTTAATATAAACCAAGCAAGCTGTAATGTTGTTTAATCTTATTGGGATTACAACTTTAATTTAGGTGACGTTAAATTATAAATTAAATGTAACGTTAAATTAAATGACTTATTTAATTTCATCTATCATTTAATGTCATATTAACGTTACCTAGATTGAAATTGTAACGTCCAATAAGATTAAATAGTATTACTCTTTTTTTAAATTAAGTACTCACTTATTGTCATGTAAAAAATCATATGTACAGAGAAATGCCTTCTAGAATTTCCAAATGCTGTGTTGGCCGCATTTGACTCCTTCGCTTATTAATATTAATTTTTTTCCCATGAGCAAATGAAAAACCGTCAAGTGTATATCTGTATTAAAAAAAAAAAAAAAAAAATAAAACCTGGAAGTAAAATCTGTACACTTAGCGTTGTCCTATTTTCAATCGAGAATTTTGTGTTATAATGTAATCAATTTAATAAAAGTCTTTGCTTTTCTCAATTTTTTTACACTATTGAACTTCAAAATTTAATTTACAAACTGAGATAGGCAAGAAACAAATAAACTTTCAAACAATATTAGCCAAAAAAAAAAATTTAATAATAATAATAATAATAATAATAATAATAAAATTAAAAATTAATATCGTCAGTATTGGCAAGGGGCCTCTTGAAATGTCAACTTTTATTAGAAGGATTATATAAATAATTTGAGATTTTATTTTAATTTTTGTGACAAAACTAATCTTAAAATCTTGCGGTTCATTTGATCTTTATACAAATCAATTGTACAATTCAACTTTAAACTAATTAAAATTGTTCGTGTACCACATGGCACTCCAGTATCTACATGTAATCGTATACACCACCAGAATGAACCAACAATATAATCTCCACGTATACCCTATACAGAATGTAGTCAAATTAATTATAATTTTTACCATTTTTAAAAAAATAAATGCACCATTAAATACGACTCTAGATCTTTTTATTAATCAACTTGTAAATAATTTCTTTTTGGCGTTTCATCTTTAGCAATTTTTTCTTTATTAGAACACAATGCACACACAATTTATACTCAAACCCTAGTAATAAGATAGTTGATTTAGGAAGTATTCTTGATCCTTTTTCATTAATATATTTAACAATTGAAAATAATTTTAATTTGTATAAGTACAAGGAAAGAATATCTCAAGCAAAAATATACTATTAAGTAATACAATTTGTGTATATGAATTATTCTTCTTGTACGACAACCCGATTGATAATGTACTCACAAGAGAGAGGATCCACGATTTTTTTATTCAGCATGGACTCCTTCCCATGTGTCTAATTATCAACCATTACTTTTATTTCTTTGGACGAGTTTCTTGTTTTTTCTTGGTGTACCACCAAATCAAACCCAACAACAATTTGGGTGGTTGAGTCATAGGTAAAGCCATTTTATAGTGGGAAGTAGGAACCTTCTAATTGATGGTGGGAAAATTAGTGATTTTGATAAGTGAATATTGCCAAACGCATAATCTAAAAAACAATCATATATTTCATAAATCTTGACCAATGCTAAAATTCACTCCCAACCAATATAAGAAAATGCCCATTTGGGCTTAATTGAATACAAGTGGCTCAATGCATTCCCAACCAAGAATTATTAGCTTTTGTAAAAATATATATAATTTGCAAAGATTAAAGAACACGGGTTTCAGTTAAAATTCATCCATGACATGTCATGTTTAATCTCTTATCAGGGTCGATAAACTAAACACATAAAATTAAATTAATTGTAGCCCACACAATTAGATTTAGTTTCTAAATTGTGTAGAGCAAAATTAACAATTTTATTATTATTTTTAAATGTACCTTTTGCATTTTGTGTTAAAGTATTATATTATGAGGATAAATTATATTATCGTCACAAATAAACTATCGTATGTTAGTAATCACTGCACATAATAATAAACTAAATGAAAGAGTAATGCTATTTGCAATCGCTCACTGTTGTGATCGTCTTATGTGGTATACACGTGACGGTTAGTGATTTGATACACAACTTCCATATGTGTGTTACATAGGGTGATTACGTTAGTGAACGACTACAAATAGCATTATTCAAATAAAATAAGCACAATAGCTGGAATACTCAATGTTTTCTTTTTCATATCTCTGACTCTCATTAAATCCTTGTTTGAACTCCATTATTTGGGGAAAAAAAAAAAGATTTTGGAAAAGTGTTTTTTTAGAAAATATGTGGTTAAAGAATAAGGAGAATTTTTGGGGTTTAATGTAATATTATTTTATTGAGAAAATGAGTGATTTATAAGAGGAGAGAGAAAAATGATTTAAAATTTAGCCCTGTTCGATACAAATTAAAATCTAGATTTTAATCTAAATTAAAGTTAGCAATTAATTTTAACAACACATTTTAACAACTTTTATCAAAATCTACTAAAAATTCGATTTTAATTTCCATCAAACAGGGCTTAATGTGGCCAAACATGAGCTAAATAAAATGTTATCAAATTCAAGAATATTCAATAATTAAAGCATCATCCCACTTTGTGCACGAATTCATTTCTTCACGATTTCGCATTGATTATTCCTTGTTAATTATAATTTATTTGACCACGAGGGGAAAATAAACGAAAAATATGATCACTTCAATCGACTGGGCAAAAATTCATTCATCTGTCGACCTAATAAATTATTTATATCCTAATAAGCCCCTGTTTGAGTCCGATTAACCACATAATCTTCAATAAAATAATATTACACATAAATCAAAAAAATTTCAACCACTCATTTTTTTTAAAAAAATATTATTCATCTCATTATAATGCCAAATAATAGGGTTCAAACACACCCTAAGTTTAAAAAGTATAAACAGAGCACACAATGCGAAATTTAACTCGATAATTTACAACTATCGATCTTTTCAAAAAATTCAAAACAACTAAGGTAAGTATACGTGAAAGTTGGAGTGCTAGAAAGAGGAGTTTCCGCGTTCAAACTCCTCTATGTTAATGTTTAAGCTCCATTTTCTCAACAAAGGCATTTTAAAATAGTATTTTGATTGATAACATGTGATTAAAAAATAAAAATAAAAATAAAAAGTTTTGATTTTGCGTATAATATTATATTATTGAAGAATGTGTAGTTGAAAATAAGAGAGAAAAATATATTTTAAAAATAATGGGAACCAAACAAGGACTATAAGTCATTTTCTATTAAAGGAGCTTAAAGTCCCGACTTTATATTTGTATATTTAGGCCCTGTTTGGCACCCATTTTTATCAAAATGCATTTTTCTCTCTCTTCTTTTCAACCACACATTCTTTATTAAAATAATATTATACGTAAATAAAAAACTTTTTCATATTTTTCAACCACACATTTTCCATCAATTTACTATTCAAAAATGCATTTTCACATAAAAATTCCTACCTAACACCCTCTTAATCGACCAAGTCTTGATACTCATTCATTGTCAAGGCTTAGATTTTGAAGAACCATTACAAAAAATAGGGGAAAAAAGTAATTTAATTGGATACGACTAGAAGAAAATTCATAAATTATGTCACGTACTTGTAAATTTAGTTTGGATAATTCAGTTCACATATTAAATATGCTATTGGGATCGACAATAAATTAATAAATAATGATCAAGAGGCAACCGTTTTGAAAATTAATCAATTATAATCTTACAAGTCAACCAAACAATTTCATTAGGCTGATTAATTTCGCAAATATCTCCCTCTCAAAATAGTTATTTCTCCTCTCGTTCTAGTTGAAGCATCTCAACTAGAAAATTTAGAATGTGAAACTCATAGTTAGATAAAATGATTTGTTAATTATATTTACATTTGATCTTTTATTATAATTATTTCATCAATAAAATCATTTGAACCTAATTTTATAGTCAATTAACTTGGCAAAAATTCGCTCATCCGTGAACCTACTATTATTTATACCCTAATATTAAGTTTAAAAAGAATAAATAGAGCACACGCAAATATATGAATATTAACTCGATTCTTTAAAACTATCAAACTTTTCAAGAAATTCAAAACGACTAAAGTGTACATGAAAGTTTAAAAGTATATGAAAGTAGAACTGCTAGAAAGAGGAGTTACCATGTTCAAACTCCCCCGTGTTATATAACTAACGCTATAAGTTATTTTCTATCAAAGGAGCTTAATATTTTGACTTGATATTGTATACTCGATCGACCAAGTCTCAGTAACTGTTCACAGTCAAGGATTAGATTTTCAAAAACAATTAAAAAATAGGAATAAAAAAGTAATTTAATTAGATACGACCGGAAGAAAATTCATAAATTATGTTACGTATTTGTAAATTTTGTTTGGATAATTCAGTTTAACATATTAAACATGCTATTGTCATCGATAATAAGTGAACAACTAATAATCAAGAGGCAACTCTTTTAAAAAATAATCAATTATAATCTTACAAGTCAACCAAACAATTTCATTAGCCTAATTAATTTCATAAACATTAAAATAACTTTTGATAAACGTCCAAATCATATTTCTTAGTCAGTGCAGAAAATACAAAAAAGAAAAAAGAAAAACATTCCCGTTCACATTCAACCGACTAGGAGATTACCGAAAAGCCCTTTTGCCAACAGTAAAGTATAATCATACGTTTAGATTATACGATAAGATTTGGCCAAAAAAAATGAAAAAAACGTCATTCATAAAAAAGTGACGAAAGCGAGGGTATTTTCGTCAAAAAAATCCTTAAATGCTCCAGTTTCGGTCTCTCCTTTAAAACTCGTAAAGTTCGGAATTCCAACTCTATATTGACTGTGTGTGTAAAGGTCTATATGTATATACACACTTTCGTATTGACTAAATTCTCTCCCAAAAATTCCATTTTTGATTACTATTACTACATAATTACATACATTACATTGGTGAATATATATACACATACACAAAGCAGCTTCCTTTTCATTTTAATTTGTCTTCTTAAAAGCCCATTGTTTTATACTGGGCTTAGCACACTGAAGAAACATGAGATTCCTCCAACTGTTTGGCTATGTAGTTTTTATGTTTAAGGTAATTTGCTGCAAAATTTTGTTTTGGTTTCCGGATTTATTTTAAAGAGATTAATTGAAGTTTAAGGATGTTCGATCTTCAAATGGGTTGCAGAATTGTGGAAATTCTAGTTGATTTGGAATAAATATGATTGCAGGTGTTACTTATCGTATCTATAGTAAATGCAGAAAGGTCTTTAGCTGCTAATGCCACATTGAGGTAATTTTCTTCTTCTTCTTCTTCATTTTTCCCCCCTAGAAAAAATGCTTTCTTGAAAAATATTGATAATAATTATAGTTTAATTTTGCTTCTGCCTTAAGGTGGGCGAAATTATGTGTACTGATCACTATTCTATGGGTGTTTTTCCCCCCCAATATAATAAGATATAAATGAATTATTATTGTTTTACTTAAGCGAGAAAATGGGTTGAATGATCACGGGAATAAAATTCTTTTCCAATTTAGATGTTTCTATTATTTTTATCAATATCGAGCACATAATGAATTGTTCAATTTTCTGTGGGATTAATGCAAGTCATGGTAAAGAGCTTTTCAAAATGACCAAAAAAATTTTAAAAAAATAAAATAATAATAATAATAAAATAAAAAATTATGAAATTTGGTGGATGAATTTCTTGAAATTATTATTCGTATGCTGTAATTTTCTTATACTCCCAAATTCTGATTTGACAGTCTTGTATTCATCCGGTAAACTGATTTCATGTGTGCAGTTGTATTGTATTTCTGGATATCATTCTTATATTATTGCTCAAGGCCATGAGATAAAAAAAAAAAAATAACAAACTTGAAGAATCCTTATTTTGCTACTAGTATTAGAAATATGATCTTTATTAGGCTTGGATAACTTATCTCAATTTATTCCAATTGGTTAGAGAAAGGCATTCCGAAGAATATTGTGCCATGTATGACATCTGTGGAGCACGCAGTGATGGGAAAGTAGTGAATTGTGCTTTCAGTTCCCCATCTTTTAAGGTAGGTAATGTTGGCAAAGCTTTTTGCTTAAACTTCTCTTATATTCCTCCCAATTCTTGGTCGATTGTCAAGAAAATGAGCTAAAATATTTATTTATATATTTACAGTATAGTCCACATGACTCCAGTCCCATCCAGTCCTTTCTGAACATGCTTTTAGTGTATTAAAGTTGTATGTGTCTTCATGTTTTTTTTATTCTTATTTTTGTGCTTACAGCCAGATGAATTACTTTCAGCAAAGATTCAAAGTTTGTGCCCCACTATTACTGGAAATGTCTGTTGTACAGAGGTTCAGTTCGAGACTTTGCGATCGCAAGTCCAACAAGTAAGAGCATTACATTAAAACTAATTGCTCCGTTTCAGCTGTTTTTCAAATAAGGGATATGCTTTTTCTAAAATAAAAATAAAACATTGAAAGGACTGTGTTGGTTATTATAAAATTATTTCGTGTTACTGTTTATTTTTCTACATCTTTGATAAAACATATCAACTTATTCTGTCTTATCATTTTTATTGCAGGCAATCCCTTTTCTTGTAGGATGTCCAGCATGCTTGAGAAATTTTTTGAATTTATTCTGTGAGCTTACATGTTCTCCCAATCAAAGTCAGTTTATCAACGTGACTTCCATTTCCAAGGTGAGTAATTCAACTTATTCGTAAGTTTGTGTTCGTGTGAAAATTGAGCACACATCAGACCTTTAAAAAAAATTGAATCTAATCTACGTGTAGGGGCATGTATGGACTAAATTCAAATAAATAAATTTGTTCTCTACCAGCTTATGTTTTAGATGAGTTGGTTTCACATTGCCAGCCTACCCTGCACGACTACTCTATTATTTGACTTTGGATTTCTTTTATTTTCTTGTATATGTTTTTTTTTTTTTATCAGGTCGGAAATAATTCGACTGTGGATGGAATTGACTTTTACATCACTGACACTTTTGGTGAAGGAATGTTTGAATCCTGCAAGGATGTAAAATTTGGTACTATGAATACTCGAGCAATAGAATTCATTGGTGCTGGTGCTAAAAATTTTAGAGGTAAACTGATACTCCCAGTTTTGTCACGTACGTGGAATCATACAAGCATGTATGTTTCTTGCAAATGCATCAAGTTCTTTTAGCTAGTCCTTCCAATTTTTCCTTACTTGTGTTTGGCGAAGCTTAAACAATTTACTTATAAGTAATTTTTTTCATTGATTAATATTGAAATTAATTACCTACATATTTTGGCAATAGCACAAGAGTTACTTCCAAAATAAATTACTATTTTTACTTAAAAGAAACAAAAATGTAGGTTATCCAAATATCTTTGGAAACTAAACATAACTCGTGCTTACTTTTGAGTAAGCAAAAAATGCGATTTATTCTTGAATGCTTGCTGACACGTAATTATATATGGCAGAGTGGTATGCTTTTATTGGTAGAAAAGCACCGCTTGGTGTGCCGGGATCACCGTATGCTATTAATCTTTCGCCTAATGCCCCCGAGTCATCTGGAATGAAACCTATGAACGTGTCGACATATTCATGTGGTGACACTTCCTTAGGCTGTTCATGTGGTGATTGTCCTTCATCTCTGGCCTGCTCAAATTCAGCACCTTCTTCCCCTAACCAGGAAAATTTGTGTTCAGTGAGAGTAGGGTCTCTTAAGGTGAGAGAAAAATCAATTTGGATGGTCAATTTATTTTGTCTGAGACATTCTTTGGACGTGTTAATTCATTTTAGTTTAGTTTCTTCTAATAATTTGCATAACAAAGAAGTTTGAAAGACTGCAATCTGCTGTATACTTTAATGGCACATTTGTGAGGGAGGATTGGATTACACCGGACAATATCAAGGATGAAAAAAGAAGTTAAAATCGCGTTCATTATATTTTGGAGTCTTATCCACTACTTCATACCAAACATGCACTAAAATAATTTATATGATTTAAAATTAATGCATTTGGAGTTCTTGATTCGTGCAGGCAAAATGTGTTGATGTTGCTGTTACAATATTGTACATTATATTGGTTTCTGCGTTTCTTGTGTGGGGTTTCGTCCATAGAAAAAGAGGAAGGATTTCTGTTTCTAGAAAAAAACCATTAGTTAATGTCACCAATGGTGGTGTTGTTCGTCAAGTAAACAAGCAGAAGGATGACGATATCCCAATGCAGGTGCATGCCATTTCATAACTTCTGAGTTACTTTTTGCTTGTTAAGTCTGCTATTTTTTACGATGTATGGATACAGCACCATAGGGACACGTTAATACGAAATTTTGAACAAAGCAGGATATGGACATGTATCCCGGAGTGTTTGCGTCCGATACGAGTCGGGTGTCGAGATGAAAATCTAGGAGGACTGTATCATAGGCTATTCAATCAGAGTTTGACGTTTTTATATTCTTGCCTGTTTTCTACTGTTCCTTGCATCATAGCACTGAACATGGAAGCAACAGATACATGTAGAATTAATGTGATTTATTTGGATGATTTCTTTGCATTTTAAAATTTACTGGTTGGTTACTTTTAAGTTCATCTTTGACGTTTCATTTCTGAGTTCTCTATAGATCATCTCCAAAGTCTACTTAACATTATTTTTTTTCCTCTTTTACTACTTTCAATTATCAGATGCTTGAGGACGTTCCCCAAATTTCTAATGGCATTCAACTTTCAATTGTGCAAGGATACATGTCAAAGTTTTACAGGTCACTTACCATACCATTTACACCAGTACTAGCTAGGAACTTTCAAGGATAACTTCTTTAAGAAGGACTATTTGACACAGTGGACCACATCTCTATTTCAGGAGATATGGAACATGGGTTGCTAGGAATCCAAAACTCGTGCTGTGTTCATCATTGGCTACTGTTCTTGTGCTTTGCTTAGGTCTTATTCGTTTCCAAGTAGAGACAAGGCCTGAGAAGGTATTATAAGTGAAGCTTTGATGTGTCTATGACATTTGCTTCACTTTCTAATTATAATGCATAATAGACATGCTTATGTTTGTCTAAATTATAATCAATGTTCATGTTCTTGGTCAATGTACTTTGAGGTGCTTCACATGTTATATCACCTGACTAAGATCTTTGGACAAAAGTTTTTATCTTTTGTTCATATTGATGCTCTATGTATTTATATATGTTGCTTCTATTGTGATTGACTCTTAAAACCACTAATGTTTCAGCTATGGGTTGGCCCCGGGAGTAGAGCTGCCGAAGAAAAACAATATTTTGACAACCACCTTGCCCCTTTTTACAGAATCGAGCAGGTTTAATATCAATTTGTGCATTTCCTTTTGTATATATCCATTTTTATCCAGTTTCATTCTGTTGTATTAGACATCTCCTCTCAAGATAATTCCGATCCAATCCAATTGATATTAAGCTTTAGTTTTGTTTAGTAATTTGTGGTTGCTAGCTGTCAGGAATTTTCAAAATCTCTTCCCCCCACCCCAACCCACCCCACTGGGTTGAAAAACTAATACCAAAATTTTGCAGCTCATAATAGCAACAATCCCAGGAACGGGTGGAAAAGCACCGACCATTGTGACAGAAAACAATATTAAGTTACTGTTTGATGTCCAGAAAAAGGTGATTCTTTCTATTATTTTTATGTAATGAGAAGGCATTACTTTAGTTATGTGATATAAAACTTATGTCTTACTTAATTAGAACTAAAAGATTCTTAGGGGAATATATTTCTTCTTATTTTGATAGGTAGATGCTATCCAAGCTAATTTCTCTGGTAAGATGGTATCTCTGACTGACATTTGCATGAAGCCCCTGGGCAAAGATTGTGCTACTCAGAGTGTTCTTCAGGTATCACGTTTTAATAAATCCTAAGAGTGTAGCACATGCTTCCTTTATTTTTTGGCATTTACAATGTAACAGAAAGGTCTAAATTCCCAGTGTTAACAATATTTCAATAACTGAATACCAATATCTGTCTATAATAATTTTCATAAGGCTTCAATAATTATGTTTTTGCTATGATGACAAAGCTCTTCTATGTATTCCAACAATTTCTCCTTGGATGTATTTAATGTTAATAAGCCTATGGCTGAACTTAACTAAGCCTACTTGGTGTGACAGTATTTCAAGATGGATCCTGCAAACTATGATGGTTTTGGGGGTCTTGAACATGTTGAATATTGCTTTCAGGTATGTTCTGCGATCTACATCTTCATGCCATGAGATTCTAAATCTGTTTTTTACATTTGCTTTTCGTTTAATTGAGCTTTAAGAGATACTTATCAAAAAATTATATGGTTTCTTTTAGCATTATACTTCAGCGGACAGGTGCATGAGTGCATTTAAAGCTCCACTTGATCCAAGCACTTCTCTGGGTGGTTTCTCTGGAAATAACTATTTGGCGGTAATTTGCATCCCTGTTATATGTTCTTCTATAAATGAGGTCTCCAGAAATCAAGTTATATTTTTCCTGACACAGGCTTCTGCATTTATTGTGACATATCCTGTCAACAACGCAATTGATAAGGAAGGGAATGATACTAAGAGGACAGTGGCATGGGAGAAAGCCTTCATCCAGCTAGCAAAGGTTTGCAGTCGTTCTTTGTGTATATATTTTATGTTTTCTTCGTAACTGTCCTTGCGTGCACATGCGTAAAAAAATGTGTCGAGGTGATCTCACGTGCACTAATAAAAACATGAATTATTGTATTGGTATTAACCATGAATAAAAGAATTTTGATTTTGATTTATGGCTGCATATTGATAATTCACAGAATGTTCTATATATACTATTTCATTGAAATGACCTGGATTCTCATCCAATTCTGTTGTACAGGAGGAACTCTTGCCAATGGTCCTGGCTAAAAATTTAACACTCACATTTTCATCAGAAAGTTCAATTGAGGAAGAACTAAAAAGAGAAAGTACTGCAGATGCTATTACAATCTTGGTAAGAAAATGAACCCCCCCCCTCAAAAAAAAAAGAAAATAAAAATAAAATTCTTATCAAATACCTCTTTAGTTCAAAAGAGGTGGAAAATTTTTCTTCTTAATTATAATGAAACTCATGCCGTCAATACGTTAACCGTTTGTTCCACCTGTCAATATCAATGAGAGTATTTAATTTAATTCTCATCTTCAGCTGCCTGCTTTATGTTATCTGAACATATTTTCTGTTCCATGTCAGATAAGCTATCTTGTAATGTTTGCTTACATATCTTTGACTCTGGGAGATACTCCTCGTTTCTCCTCTTGCTATATCACATCTAAGGTATGTTTTTATGGAAAACCCTTTGGTGTGTTTGCATTTATCTGTGAGATCTTCTTGGGTCTGTTTGGGAGAGATTTTTCCAACTTAAAAATAAATTTTTTTTTGGTAGAATGTATGTCTAAAAAGTAGGAAAAAGTTATGCGTCTCATAGAATGTGTGGTTGAAAATGATTTTTGGGAGAAATGATCATTAAAAAATATCTCCCAAACAAGCTCTAAATATTTAAATGGGGTACTTTTGACATTAGCTGATTATACTTCACATTTAATTTCATTTAATATGAGGTCTTGTTCCAACTTTTTTAATCTATTAAGGTCTTACCATTTTCTCCGTTTCTTTCTACATTTTCCAATGACACAAGCCTGAAATTCCTTTGTAAAACTGAAAAAAATCTATCAACTTTCTAGAAGACACAACACCTTATATTCTGAACTCTTAGCTGCAATGTCATTTTTGTAATTTGTAGAGAAAGTGGACATTTGAAAATGAGAGCCTGTTTGGGAGTGATTTTGAGAATTGATTTTTTGACCGTTAGGAGAAAAATAGGGTCCACATGTGAGAGAAGAAGTCAAATATGATGGCTAGAATTAGGGGTGTAAGCGGTCCGATTTTACCGGTTTTTGACAGATTTTCAAACCAAACTGTTTAAAACGGTTTGAAAAAAACTCAAACCTAAACCAACCATTTTGAACGGTTTGAAAAAAACTCAAACCTAAACCTAACGGTTTGGTCCGGTTTTAAACTGTCGGTTTCACCATATAATTTTTTGCCGTCTACTTTTATGTCATTAATTCATTGAATTTAATATATATTTATATCTCACTAGTAATAAATCTAAAACAAACTAAGCCATTGTTTGAACCAAATTTTTGGGACAAAAAAATGAAATTTTGGACAGTTATTCCACAAGTTCAGCCGCCTTTGTTGACCTGCTATTTTATGTGTGGGACCCAACCTCCTCTCCAATAGTCAATTTTCTCATTATGATGATATGGAAAATATGGCTCAAATAGGGGCTAAATATATTTACTATAAATTTAAATATTAACTAAATCAAAGTGAAATCACAATAAACTAAAAAATAGTTTTTTTTTTTCATTTTTGTTCACACTTTTTAGGCTAATGACGATACAATAACGTTACAATACAAGTTTACTAAACTAGATATAAGGTTCAAAAAATATAATAATATCCAACAAGACCTCGTGATCATCATATCTGAAAAAAATGATACTGATTAAATAAAGAACATAACCAACCACAATAATAAAGCAATTGTTTATAATATATAAACATAACAATTACACAAGTTTACGTTTGTATGATGTTACGAAACACATTTAATTTCAGATTCTTAACTTAGTTTGCTCAAAAAATTATTGATTTGAAACTTTATTTGTAGCAAATATTATCACCGAAAGTATAAGATCTCTTTGTCTCTGATTTGGTATAATGGACTTCAATTCAACTTTGAAGAGCGTGAAAAATCTGAAAAAGAAGTGTGTGGTGCCGGTGGCTCAAAACTGTATTGGGTGTCGACTGGAGTTCATCTAAATTTTGAAGAGGAAAAAGACTTTTGATAGATTATGTTAGTCTTGAAATTATTATATATATATTAGAATTATTGGATGATGATGATGATGATAATAATAATAATAATAATAATAATAATAATATATCTGTATTATAAAATTAGGAATTGACAAAAATACTCACAAATGACAAAACTATTGAATTTTACATATTTGGAAGAATTTTCAAAAAATTTCGTTTTTTTTATTTCTTTATTTTTATATATTTTTTCGCCGGTCCGGTTTGGTTTTAAACCGCAATTAAAATTCTCAAACCTAAACCAAACTATGTTGACTGGTTTGGTTTGGGTCAAAATCATTTCGTTGACCGGGTTCACGTGGCACCAAACTGACGGTTTCTAAAATGCGGTGTCGGTTTGGTTTTCCGGTTTTTGCATACAGCCCTAACTGGAATAGTGAAATAACGGTCAAAAAATCAATTTTTTTTGGTGAAAAAATCGGGCCCAAACA